TACATTGATTAGCATGTTGGGTCCACAAACTCCCGGTTGGATTACCCTGGTCCACAACCTCCTGGTTGGATTGCCCTACATACCACATACTGGGTCCACAACCCCCCAGTTGGATTACCCTGCATACCATGTATTGGGTCCATAACATTCTGGTTAGATTACCTTTGGCCCACAACCTCCCGGTTGGATTGTCTCGGTCTGTTGATTGACAACACAAAGTAGTAATCTCAACCCCAACGTAACATGTCGACATATAATAGATAACATGCATATGCAACAGACAAATAATTTTATAGCCAATAATCACATGCAGTCTTACAGATATACCGGTCTATCGCATATCAACAACTATCATATAATCATACAGATCTATCACATACAAAACATATCATCAATCAGTATTTAACAAGACGTAAATCCATTGGGGCCGGCCTTGGTGCCTTCGACCCACAACTACAATGAGAAAAACTCACCTCTCAATCTGAAACGATCGTTGAACATGATACAACTTCAAATATCAGTTCTACCGGTCACATATCCAACAATTAGTGACCAAATCAACCCATACCCAAAAGTTCCATAATCCATTAGTCACGTCATGACCCCTAATGGTCACGTCATTACCTAATAATTTCAAAACAGTTGAAGAATGTCATCCTCATTTTGTGACACCCTGTGCTCACGTCGTGAGAACGCTCTGACCAAAAGTTCTTAATAAAACTCTTAATCGCTTTTTTCCCAAGCAACCAAATCCCCCATAGAGTCTTATTCACTCCAAAAAATTGTAAAAATCATGGCTTTTTAGACATGCATGTCCCAAACACTAGCTAGGGCACAAAAAGGAAAAATTGCACCAAATCTCATGCATGAACAATAACATTTGACCATCTACTAAATATAGTATCTATACTACTCAAGGGACACTGGAGATCCATAAAGTTGGCAAATTTATGGATTCCAACCTCTACATCATATTGTACATGAAGGATAGAGCATGAAAAATCTAGATACAAACTTATAAACTTATAAAGCAAAGAACTTGAAACTCACAAAAGGTCTAGAAGGTGTGCAAATGCTTAATTGTGAGACTTGAATGCATAAACAATGGACTAGATGCTCTTCCTCTTCTTTTCCTTGGCTAAAATCACCACAAATAAGCTTCAAGATCAAATATGGAGGCTAGGGTTTCAAATGGGGGGGGGGGGGTGCAAAGAGGTGATGGAGGATGATGGTGGGCTAACCCTATCCCACACTTCCTTTAAATACAAAAACAAAATCCCCAAAACTAGGGTTTCCTCTCAGGTAGGTCTCACGTTGTGACACCCTGTGCTCACGTCGTGAGCCCCAACGATGATGCACATGCTCATTAAACTCCTCCCGACGTGACATATATTCCTCATGTCGTGTGTAGGGTTAAATCCTTGAAAATTAAACTTGAAAAATTCCCAACTTAACTGAATGTTACAACTTCTTCCCATATTATCCCATTTGACTCCAAAACACGAACCGGGGACTTGGATCACATGACATATATTATCCACATGCAATTGGGTCTAAACATTTCCTCCCTCAAAGCCCATAGCCTTATGATAATCAATATTCGGATCACGACCCCGAATCAAGAAACAATCCTAAACAGGGTGTTACAGTAATGTTATCGATGCAAATAATGGGTGATAATTCAAACTGGTGTTTATTTTCAAGTTTTAAAACATAATTGGAGGTTATGTTGATGGTCGCTTTGATCCTTGTTTTTTACTATATCAATGATTTTCTATGATTTCAATTGATGTCTAAAGCATGTTATGTCCACTTGAAGGGTTTGTGTCATTTGATCGGTTAGGACATTCAGAAATGATTTGAATGGGTTTTGGAATTATTGGAAGAGTAAATTCGGCAAATGACCAAAATGTAGGGTGAGTTTGAAGAAAATGACCACAAAAATGAAGATTTTAGAAAATGACCACAGGTTCCGCAGAGGGGATTCTGCGGAACCATAAACACCTCTGCAGAATGTGAACACCTCTGCAAATCTTGGTTTTCTTCATTTTTTTTTTCGTTTATTAATATAATTTTTTTTAATCACATAAGGTATTATGTGATTTTTTTTTTCGTTTTTCGTTTTTCTTATTTAACTACTCGTTTATAACGTTGTGTGTTTAATAAAAACTATACAAATATACTATGTTTTTTTATAAAATTACACACACTAATATTCTAAATAATAAACATACTTTAAGTAGGTTACAAAAGATAGTTTAGAAAACACAAACATACAACCTTCATAATAAACATATTTTGAAATAAACTTCATTAAAGTCTATGCGGATCCTCTACAACTCTGTGGAATCTTTGTTTTTTGATTTTTTTTCGTTTTGTTGTGTTCATTTTCATTTATTAATATTTTTTTTAATACAATAATACCTTATGTGATTATTATGTAAAAAAATTGACAAAAAAAAGTTAAAAATAATGAAATGTTTTATATAATACGTTTGCTATTGATGTATGTTTTCCATGTATTTTTACTGTTTTGTATTTACAAATCACTCTCCACAAACTCAATGAAAATATTTCTATTGGTAGTTGAACTCACAAGCTCACAAAAACCCATAAAAATACGTCTATAACTTTTATAACTAATCCGTAGAGGTGTATACAGATCCGCAGAGGTGTACACTGATTCGCAAAGGTGTACACAGATTCGCAAAGGTGTATACTGATCGTCAGAGGTGTACATTGATCCGCAGAGGTGTACACTGATCCGCTGATAACAGTTATGTGGATTCCCAAACAGTTATGTGGACTGATATTAAACATAAGTTCATTATTTTAACCTTTTTTCGTCAATTTTTTTTAATAAACCATAAGATATTAGTGTATTAAAAAAATTATTAATAAACGAAAACAAAAAATAGAAAAAACGAAAAAACGAAAAAATAAAAATTAAAAAACTCAAGATCCGCATAGGTGTTTCGGTTCCTCAGAGACAAACATATTACATAAAACATTTCATTATTTTTAACATTTTTTTGTAGATTTTTTTACATAATAATCACATAAGGTATTAGTGTATTTAAAAAAAATTATATTAATAAACGAAAATGAACGCAAAAAAAAAAAAACGATGAAACGAAAAAAAAATTTAAAAATAAAAAAATAAAGATTCCGCAGAGCTGTAGAGGACCCGCAGAGCCTTCAATAAAGTTTATTTCAAATTATATTTATTATGAAGGTTGTATGTTTATGTTTTTTAAAGTATGTTTTGTAATCTATTTAAAGTATGTTTATTATTCAGAATACCGATGTATATAATTTTATAAAAAACATAGTGTATTTGTATAAATTTTATTAAACACATAACTTTTATAAACGGGTAATTAAATATGAAAAATAAAAAACGAAAACAATTTTTTTTACATAATAATCTCATAATACCTTATGTGACTTTTATAAACGGGTAATTAAATATGAAAAATAAAAAACGAAAACAATTTTTTTTACATAATAATCGCATAATACCTTATGTGATTAAAAAAAAAATATTAATAAACGAAAACAAGAAAAGAAAAAAAAAAAACAAAAGAAAACGAATATAAAAATGAAAAAAACCAAGATCCGCAGAGGTATTCACATTCCGCAGAGGTGTTTATGGTTCCGCAGAACCCCCTCTCCGGAACCTGTAGTCATTTTCTGAAATATTTATTTTTGTATCATTTTCTTCAAACTCGCCCTATAATTTGATCATTTGTCAAATTTTCTCGTAGAATGAGTTTGGACAACCCAAAATAATAAATTGCTTGTTTTTGGGAATTACTTGGTCCAGTGGAAGTTCTTTATTGGCTTCATTCAATCAAGTAACTTGTTGCATTGAGGTTAAAAGTGTCAAGCTTGTTTTAATCATAAATTTTCCATAGACTTCAAATTAGGTTTGTTTTTTACATATGATCTTCTAAGACTCGAGATGATACTAAAACAATAAAAAATTCATTTTTTTTTAAATTTAAGAATTTAATAAATAACTTAATGGACTATTGAAGAGTATTTGACACGACTTAAAATTCCGTATATTACGTGTTAGTGTTTGCCACTCTAAAAATTAATGTGATAGACATAAAAAAAAATCTACTTAACCATTAAACTATTTTTTTTTTTAATTTAGTTTACCATCTAACATCTTCAGACCTCTTTTTATGGTAAAAAAAACAATTTTACAATCCTCTTATTCGTACGTTTTCAACATGCAATATTTATCTTCAACACGACACAATTTGAATACAAGAGTCCTTCCAAACTTTAAATATGGGTTTCCAAAATGGTGATAAACACAATGAAGATATAGGTTGAAAAAAAGTGAGATATGAGGTGAACATCAGAATCCTTCCAAACTTTAAATATGGATTTCCAAAATGGTGATAAACACAATGAAGATATAGGTTGAAAAAAAATGAGATATGAGGTGAAGATGTTCGTTCGATTTTCGGGTTTGGATCATGTCCATACTTTTTCTTTAAGTTTTGTGCATTGCTTGTAAGAAAAGAAGAAACAAAACTCGAATCATATTTATGGGTTCGAAAAAAATAGGGCTAAGAACACGATGTAGATATGGATTTGAAAAATATCGATTTTTTGAAGTTCTTGAATATTAATGAGGATGAATACGATGAAGATATGAGTTTCATCCTCATCCTTGTTGATCGTTTTATGGTATTTATTTCCTAGTTTGGCATCAAGGCTTCATCAAACTTTGTTTAGAAGATAAACACAATGAAGATCTAGAATGAACAACCAAAGAAGAGAGAATTCTCATGCGACACCCCATTGATAAGATGTACCAAAATATCAACATGTCAAGAGATATTAATACATAATATTTAAGAAAAGCAATATAACACTTATTTCATCAGTTATATAAGTAACCAACAGTAAACAAAACAACATGCAATACTTCCATTCAAAGAAAAGAACAAACTAGAATTCAAGACACAATATCTACAAAAATCCAAACAACCACTCATACTAGCGTCTTCACAACAAAACTGCAATCTTATTATTATTATTATTATCCTATTTACAGGAAACCAATTATCATCATGATCACAAAACGCTTAAGTAGCTTCTGCAACAGATGAAAGGTGCAAGTTGGTTCCATAACCCTTGAGAAAGCTGCTTCCACAGAACTGATCATGAAAAACAACCCCATCCTCGTCTTCTTCTGCATGCTCATGCAACTTGTACCCTGTGCTTGAAGAGTTTCCACCACGTTTTCTTACTTGCTTCTTCTCTTTACCTTTACTTCCACGTGATGATGATTTGCTTCCATTCTTTTGCTTGTTTCTTGAATTCTTCTTGCTACTATGCCTTGAAGACCTGTTGCTTGTTACAACATGTGATACTGAAGTGGGAATTGGATCGTAGACATCGGGTGCCCATTTTACCCTCAGCTTCACTGGTGGAGCCACCCCATGTTTCTCACGGCTACCTTTCATGGCAGATACAGCCTTCAAATGGGTCTGGAAGTAACACAAGATCCAATCACTCACCATAAATAAAGATAACTCATAATTCATAAATGATGAATCTAAGAATACTGTACTTACAGGTAAAGAAATGGAACGGAATCCAGATTGATCCAAAGATTTGATCTTGTCATCATGTAAGGTGATGGAATCTGGACAAGGAAATGTTGCAGACCTGCTGAGAGAATTTTCAGGAGGTTGAGTTGTTGTGTCTTTAGGTTTATGGGGTGGTGAGGAGTTTGAATCCTCATTTGTGTCATCTTGAATGTTGAGAAACTCGGTGACATTAATGCTGAGTTCATCCACAGAAAGGGGTTTAAGAACTCCATGAGTGGGTTCGAGTGGATCCTTTGGCAGATCATGAAGATCGTTGGCATTATCAGCAACTGACAAATCAGTGTCGGAGCAAATGTCCATTTGCAAAAAAAAATCGAGGATTTTGAAATAACTGGCTGCACTGTTGAAGCTTCAAAAGCGAAAGTGTTGCAAGAAACCTGTGTCAAAAAAGGTGTATCGTTTGTCGATTTAGTAAACATGATGTCATGGTAATTTGAAGAGAAACTGTTGGGATTCATCATTCATGCTCATGACCTGATCTTCGATCATACTCAAATCTCAAGATCAAAGCAATTTCGTGTGCATTAGATTTAAATAAACCACCATCACCAAACAGTTTTATTCAGCCGTCGGTGATGTGACAAACGCAGGTAATATTAATGAAAAACCAGATAAACCGTTTACAACAAAGCATTTAATATTGCTATCAAGGTAAGGATTTTTGCTCCAAATAATTTTGGAAATTTAATATACAAATCCAAAGCACGTACACGAAAACGAACGGAAAAAATAAAATTGATGGTACCTTCTCCGGCAGGTTAGATCTGGCTAGACCAAACTTCTCCGGCGCAAAAACGAATCCAACCAGTCCCGTATGTCTTAAGGCGGTTTTCGATTGTCGATCGATCTCGGAATAAAAAAGATATAGCTAGTTGACCGTGTCAAATCAGTAAGGCAATGGAGAAGAAAAACACAGAGAGATGTAGAAAGAGATAACGGATGCTAATTAGAGGGAGGAAAAGAGAAAAAAAGGCCTATTGTTAACTAAGATTACCACGACGATCTCCTTTATGAAGACGACGTTTCAAACGATGAGAACACGAACGACCGCCATAAAAAGAGTTAAGCAAAGGGGGAGTAATAAATTCGAGTGAAAGCACCGAAAGCATTGTTCGATGCTTTTCAAACCCTAGTTTCCACAACGAAAAGAAACTAAACGGCCAAACCCTAATCAAAACGACTGGATCGTCAATTCGATAAGATCCCGATGACTATGCAGATTAAAAGCCACAAATGAGACGTTATTTGATTGATGGCGATAGCGAATGAGCTGATTACATGAATTTGAGGATCGACGTTCAATGATCGGGATCGAAGAACATGGCTGGAAAACGGAGAGAAACCAGGTTTAGGTAAGAAGATTTGTGCAAATGATAATACAAGGGGAATGGATAAACCAGAGAATAGGAACGGCTTGGTCAACGCCCTTCCGACAACAAATTTGGACTGGGCCTATATATTCCACGGCTAACGGCCCTATATGAGACGGGTCAAATACTCAAAGTTCATTGTCGGGTTCGATACTTCGATATACGGTTTAATTTAAACAATAGAGTCACTATTTTTTTTATCAAAACTACATGTTTGGTTTTTAATTGAGCATGTGTGGGTTGGTTTCGTAGCCAAAAACAAATTATATCTATTGCAATTTCTTAATGTATTTCGATAGTATTTGTTATTGGTTATTGGTTTGGCTAGTGGCTTTTGTTTTGTTTTAACTATTATAGACCAAAATGACATTAAAATAGAAAATACATTTCTATTAGAAATGGAAAAACAAAATGTGCATTGCCATCGATAGTGAAATCAGAAAGTATGTTGTTATTAAACATGTATCTTATTTTGTTTTGTGTGAGAAATCCGAGAATATGGGCATGATATTTGTGAGTTTGCATACCTATCTCATATTTTATTCAATTTCAATTCCTCATTTAATTAATATAATTACATGTCTTAAGTGTTTAACACAATTAAGTACTAATGGAGAAGCACGTTTGACCACCATTCCACCAATACTTGCATCTAACTTCAAAAGGGAGCAAAAGGGAGAGCATCATGGTGCTCTCGGCCATGAAGGAAAAAGACAGAAAATAACAACAATATGAAAGATTTTTGCATCCTTTAAATACTCACATGCAAGATCTAAAGCACATAATACTTCCATTTAATGTAAAGTATAGATATATTGCAAGTAATGTATATGTAAGAGGGAGGTTGGCATGCAACATCTCATCCCTCATGAAAGTCATGATTTTAACGAGAAAAATAAGAGAGAAAGTTTGACTTATTTCAACAACTGGTTTAGTCCATGTAACTAGAAAGTTAGATGGTAACCATGATGGGTTTTATACAAACAATCCTATGTGTGCATGCAACCCTAGTATTGGATCTATGTTTTCACTATTAGTTATACAACTTTATGAACACAAAAAGAAACCTGGCATGCTACTATAATTTTCGAAATTCATATATAAAGCTAGAATACATACCTTTTGTTGTTATGTAGCAATAACAACTAGTTCCTTGAATTTCCTTAGCTCTTGAAAGCAAGTACCACAAGTGTAGTACCTCTAATGGAGTCACAAACACCATATGCAACTTGGATGAAGAGGAGAAGAAAAGGAGGCACCAAAAACGGCTGGAAACCCTAATGGAAGTGTTGTCACCGTTTTTGGGGCTTAAGGGTCCCTTTTATACATGTAGGCTATTAGGGTTTACAACTAGAAAACCCTAATCTGACTGCTTAGGCCCTAAGCAGCCCATGGACTCCTTAAACATATCCCTTGGACGATTTCTAATGGGCTTCCCATAGAATTCGTTCAACCTATATATTATTAGGTGATCCATAGCCCAATTATAATTATCTTATAATTACAACTTCAGTCCCCTAAGTTTAATTAATCTCTTTTAGCCACAAAATTAATTCTTAATTAATTCTTGACCAATATTAATTAAACAATATGATTTCTCCTTTAATATATTATTCTCATAATATATTAATAAATCATATTTAAACCTTTCTCTTCTTAAATCATCCTACATATTGCTATAGTGAAGGCAACCCAAAAGGACCATGCTCATAATTGGGTCAAGCACATACCAAAACAGTTATGGACTTAGACACTAATCCAACAGTCTCCCACTTGGATAAGTCTAATAACTATTTTTCGTATGACTTCAGAACCTGATCAGCAATCGTAGCTTTCAAAAGCCGCTGTCAACTCTGATCTTATCAGATAGCGTGTCCTCTAGATAAGGGATTATATATTCCTCCATTCTCAAGATATCGTATAGACATAAGACATGAATTTCAATCATTCTCTCTATACTATTTCCCGACTTTCGATTTATGACGACTGACAACAGACTACAATTGAACACATCAACTTAGTCCCGGCTTGGCCAAGCGCTTAGATGTCATCACTAAATCATCGAGAGGCCCATATATATCGCTTTTATCCCACTTTGGGTAAAAGGAATGGATAAACTTCAACTCAAATGCTCACTTGCATTTATTGATCGAATCACACACAACAATAAGTTTTATAACACCAAGTTACTGGTGCGTTTACTTATTATCAATGTGTAACTGACCAACAAATAACAACTCACACGTCTCGGTTTCAAGAATATACAATATTATCGTCTCACTAATCACTCGTGATAAAACCATGAAGTGATCCAAGTGAGCGTGGGTTTAATCCAATACTTTAATCTTATCAAAGCACTCACGAACTCTGCAGCAAACTTGTGCCATGTCTAAACACTTCAGACAATCTACAGACAGATTCATGACAGTCTCTATTCATACCTACTCCCAACGTATGACCAACTGTGGATGTTTGAATAACCTAGTTATTCTGGAAGTCAAAACATGCAAATTGAAACATGACAACAATACTTAATCCTATATGGCCCCAAACTTGTGAGAGTAAATAAAACCTTTCTATTTATCCACCATATTGATTACTCATTATTTATCATTTAATGTTTCGGATAATCAACTCATTACTTGAATTATACCAACAATTGTCCCATGCTCTAAACATGCACATTTTGTTTCCTATGGTCCATGCTTTGTGAAATAGATCACCTGAAAACTTTTCCAATGATGCTCATTTCACAATTCCTTAATCCTAATTATTAGTGTAAGAACACAAGGTTCTTGCCACTACTAGAATATACTAGATTCTAACATTTTATGCAACGATCCCTTTGCAAAATCATAGCACAAAAGTCACCAAGACGTGGCTAATGAAATTACAAAGTACTTTCTTAGAAATTGTTACAAGACAATTCCATAGATGTGAAGTCTCACATTCAAAGTACATTCCTTTGAACATCCTTCTTGCATAAAAGTTTCTAATCTAGACATAGACTCTCAATATCCAACTCCCAATATGGAAATATTTCCACATTTGCCATATGACAACTCATTCTTAATAGAATCTTATCTATTCATAATAATGTCGATATGGTCCATCCAATACCATACTTCCAACTACTTACAAGCGATCAATCCTCAGCGAACTTTGGATCGTCCTTTGATAGTTGTTAAATTCTTTCAGTCAAAACCAATTCTATTCCTTTTTCCCTCTTAATGCGCTAGACATTTGGAAAATTTTAGAATGGTAAAATACTATAGCATTTACAATCGATCCTATACCCGAAGCGTATGGGACACGATGCATAATGTCTTAGATAAAGATATGATACTTTACCAATCTTTTGCCATAATATTTTATGTGTCATGTTCTCACAATTCGAACTATCAAGAGGGATGCCGTAATCATAATCGAATTTTAAGAACACACAATCGATCCTATACCCGAAGCGTATGGGACACGATGCATAATGTCTTACATAAAGATATGATACTTTACCAATCTTTTGCCATAATATTTTATGTGTCATGTTCTCACAATTCGAACTATGAAGAGGGATGCCGTAATCATAATCGAATTTTAAGAACACACAATGTATCCTTTGACTGAAAATATTAAAATTTCTTAATCTAAGCTTTAGATTTTGAAACGGAGTATAATATTCTCTCCCTTAAATATAGCAAAACAACTTTTCAACCTATGCAACTTTGCAAATGGAATCTTTGTTTTTCTATAATTAATATTGCTAACTTGCAATACTCGCCATAACAATCATACAAGCATAACACTTATGCTCCCACTATCATGATGATTATCATATAAGCATAACATTTATGCTCCCACTAGCTTTGACATGTATTCAGAAAACAAATGAACTTCCAGAAAACAATGCCTATTGAATTTCTGAAATTCATATTTCTAATACCAGATGCTTCGATAAGCCTTTATCTAAGCTTCTTAACCTTATACACCTTTGCCTTAGATAGCTCATATGTGTGTTTAAACAATTCATAACTTATGTTACTAAGTTCCAAATGTTGAAACTAATTGCCAAATCTCACAATTTGAACTATGGAAAGGGATGCCGTAACCATAATCGAATTTGAGAATACAATTTTCACAATCGCTATCTTCTTAAAATCTCTCTTAGTGAAAGCATTTCTTCACAGTCATTTTCATGAAGGAGGGAATCTTATAACACTTAGATTTTATGGTGTATGAGTTCCTATCCATGTTAATTTGCCAAAACCAAGGTTCGCGACAAATCCAAACTCATATGGATTGAACTTTCTTAATCTTGATTTCATGCCCTATGGTAACACGAGTGCCCACCATGTCTTCCAAGTAACTTGTCCTTACATATCAACGTACTTTCCATCGACTAAGGCTTTAGTATGTATTCAAATGAGAACTCATAGAACTCATATACACAATTAACTCAATTGGAATGGCACAGAAACAAAATAATGTCAGCACGATAGATTGTAAACCTCAAGTCGTGTGCTAGTGATGATCGATAAGGTTTATTCTTGATTTGTTCTTGAAACTTTTCAAGACCATTAAGACTCCCACTGACTTCTTGACATATAAGATTCTCTTGTCAAGAAACATTTCTTGACAAACAAATATTCAAGAGTTAGTGAAGCATTTATCAAGACAAAACACTTCACACAAAATTGGTCCTAGTTGGTCTTTGTCTTATCCAAGACATCATAACTTACCAATATCAAATGTACAAGAATAAGAAAACTTTTCCCAATTCCACATTTGATGAGTGTTATAAACCTACTTAAGACTTTTCACTCAATGTCACAATCTTGACTCTAAGACTTGATATTGGAACGAAGTATGATTGACTTATTGATACAATACTTGATACCTCTTCTTAGACATGCAAATGCACTAAGACTCACTTAGAGGATCAATTGAGATATGGTTCTTAATCATTAAGACTTATCATAAAACACAATAAAAGGTACTCTCCCTTCTTCTTAGAATAGAGAAACTTTTATCTTTCTGCCTACTTGATTCTTCTTTATTCGTTCTACTATTCATTGAAACTTTTTCAATAAACTCAGAATTATACTTAATCTTATAAGTATAATCATATTTACTAAGCTTTAGTAAATCATGACGAATATCTTTGTCACTCTTGTGGTGGACTTGATCAACACACAACCTTGTGTACTTGATCCCCTTGTCCTTTAATTGACACTTTGCCAAAGAATTAGTCTAAGTTTCCCAAATGTGAAAGTTTTTCATTCATCATACAATACACATTGCATGATTCCAAGTTTCTGTCCAATTGAAACTTGGGCGATGAGAAAGTCTCCCTATTTGGTACACTTTTGACATTTCCATAATTAAGAATCAAATCCATTATTGCTAATAATAGAAACATTCAAACATTAATTTTTCATACATGCCATCCGCAAGGATAAATAAATAAGATAAAATCAAAATTCGTTTTATTGCGGAAAAAATTTGTCCTTACAATGTAATTCAATTGAAAAACTATGTTATTACATATTTCTGAACAATCTATTCTAATTCCAAGTAGTAGCTCAAGAATCCATTCTTCAAGTAATGCGATCGAAATCCATTTCTTCATGATTAGATTCAGCTCACTTCCTTTCTCAAGCTTCCTCTCTTTTCTTCGATCCTACAAAACATCAAAATGTAATCTT